GAACAGTCGAAGATGCACCGCTGCAGCAAGAGTGGAGCCATGTGTTTCTCCATCGAATGCATCTTGAAAAAGGCTTGTCGCCAAAAAAGTAAGCTCTCTTTCGTTGAATAATAAACAAGTGTTTCGCGCTTGCACCGCTGCACAACAGTTGTTACGTTATTATCATTGCAATCGACTTTTCAAATATCTTGCTAGTAATTCGATAGATGGCAGATGTGAATTGGCCGCAGAAAAAGTTTGGATTATAGCGGTACGAGCGAAGGCTTCGGAGAGAGGGGGTTACCCATTGTGGCTTTCTCCTTTTAAACAGATGCCAAAAGTTCATTTGGGCACAAAGTTTTGGTGGTCACCAAACACTTTATAGTTTCATGATCCCCGCCCGATGAAAATCTTGAGGACACTTTTCTTTCTAGCTATCTACTGTCCCCTAACATTAACTTCGTCCTTTCTTTAGGTAGAATGGTTAAAAGCGGCACGGTTTTGGAAGGCTTCTAGATTTTTGTAAAAGCAACAATCTGGCTTACTTTCGATGAAAATCAAACTTCATATATAATATATTTTGTTCAATCATACACTGCATCTGTCAGCCAAAGTGTACGGATTCACCGAATTGACCCCAAATTACCTTATTTTACACTGCCTATTTCATGTGATGTTGCTGAGGAGGGTCATTTGGGCCTGCTGTCTGAATTAGAATTACAGAGAAGCTACCACGACCGTATCCATTTCGATGATCGTCGCCGATTCTTTCTTGAATTTGTGATTGACTGTCGTTCGTATTGACGAATGACTACACAACGATAGCAATATAATTATAACATGTCAAGGATTAGATCAGATATCGCATACCAAAACAGAATTTACTTCCTATGCTGTGTGAATCATTCCGTCTTTTGTGTTAATATTCAGTACTCGAGAGCAACTAGCAGTGGCCTTGAATTCTTCTTCCTGGATTTATGATGAAAGCTTTAGTCCAAAAACTTTTTTTCACAAATTATGAAGACGACTTGTCAACTCCTGCAACTATAAGTTTTTAATCTACCGCCTGAGGTCTACCAGGGTTTATCGGCTACTGCAGTGGCTATTGATGGTGCATTCCAGTTCGACTTGTTGCCACGTGTGATCTTAGGGGCTTTTCTGAACGTAAGCTGCAACTTTTCCATAAATTTAAGGAGTGCTCAATAGAAACAGTAGTTTTAGTTTAAATGCGATAAAAACTATAGATTTGCGATTGTGTTTCAAATGTCCTTACTATAATCAAGCTGCAAACCACAACATACTTTTAAATTTTTGAGTTCTTTAGTGCATTGGTATAAAAAATTGCTGTGCCAAACTAGTCGTTGT